TTCTCTAAAAGTCAGTTTGTATAAGATTGGTTGCTTTTTGTATTTTTGGGTTTTTTTCTAGTTCAGCAGCTCTCGCCTATAAATTGACTAAGCCTGGTATTTTGCGGGGGGTGGGGGGTAGAGACATAAACTAAAAATTATGGGAGTATTCAGGTTTTCTCCAAAGACCAAGTCACACTTTTTTTAGGAATGTGTCTGTTGCAGGTTAAGTTTTTACTTTTACTTTTACTTTTTTCTTCACATTTATAATTAGAATTTTATTACTCAGGTCATTTCAGAATGCAGTTTTAATGTTGTGAAAATGTATGTTCATTGGTAAAAGTAATTTAAACAGTGCATAAAGTTAAAATTCTCCCCAAATCCCATCACTTACCACTTTCTTGTTATCTCTTTAATCATACATAGAACTATATAATACCCTTCTGCCCGATTATGGACATTTAATGCTTATTCATTGTATTTTAAATTTTTTTTGAAAAAGCAAAAAATTAGAAATAAACCAAGTCATTTGTAGTTTTTCCTTTTGAAACTTGTTATTTTAATGTTTTGATGTATTTTTTCCAGATTTTAAGGCATACTAATTAGACTTAAATAAAAACAAAATAATTACTTTTATTTATATTATTATGAACATTTTCTTATTTTATCAATTGGTGTTAGGAACCATGGTATTTAATGTAAAAAATTAAGGGAATGTTTCAGTAAATTTATTTGCACTGTTTTAAGTAATGCTGCAGCAGTCTTATAAATTACCAGGTGACTCCTGTTAGTAGACATTCTTAAGTCAGTTTCATTTTCAGTTAACCCTTCAACTGGTGGCTTGTTTCACTTAAGGCCACTCTTGACAGCTTCTGTTCAAGAAGCAGGCAGGCTTTAGAAGAGTGGGTATGTCATAGAGAGATAGACAAAAGGTAATGAGCATAGCAGTTGAAAATTTAGGGATTATTTTATTTTTTTCATCACCCTCTGTTTCATACAAGATTTCTGTTGACTTAGTAAAAGAACATTTAAAATGAAATAATTGCTTAAAACTTGCGAAAGACAATCAGAATTAAATAAGAGTAGAAAGTTAAGACTGGAGAAAAAGAGCAATCTTGATATATAAGCTATAAGCTTATTTATATGTAATAAATTTGACTTTTTAGATTTGAAGTGGGATGGGAGATACACTTCCTTAAAAGGATCTGGTGCCAAAAGAGGAAGCTCACCTCATCTCAGGAATTTTTTCTAATTTTAGTAAAAATAAAAATTGAAGGAAAAAAAAAATCTCTTGCATAGCTTCAAGTAGGAGACAGTGAATTGAATCCTCAATCCCATGACCACAGGTGATGCTTAAACAGATTTTTTACATTCTTTAACTCTCAGTGTATTACCAGGGGCTTGTTTTTACTTTCTTTTTTGAACCGTTCTATTTTAAACATTGATTTTTTTTTTTCTTTTTTCTTTTTTCCATGACTGTTCGTTCTAGGAGCCCTTAGGACAAAAAGAGCATTTACTATTTTTCAGTTGCCTTATGGATATGTCAGACTATTCCCTAAGTCTAAAATACATTATGGGTCTTAGTGATATTATTTCTCCTGTATCTTGAAATATTTTGCTGTTTTATGACCTCAGGAAGTATTTCACCATTACTCATCAGTTCCTAGCTATAATTTAAAAAAAGTCTAAAATAATAAGATAGTGGAGGAATGATGGAATCACCTATAAGGATGAGTTAATAGTGAACTCAGTTACTACAAGTGAAATACACAGCTGCTATTTATTTTTCAACTTTGAATTGAATTTTCCAAAGTATGGCTTGATCTTTCAAGAAGCTATAAAGGAAGTCTGAAGATACTCTTTTAAGTCTTTTATTTTTTTTAAGTTTCACTGGGTACTGTGTGGAATTCAGAGTTTTTCATTTTCTGCTCATAATAATAGTAGAAGAAAATTGCTAGAATAAGGCATTTCACAGTGGGAAAACAAATCAGAAGATGAATGTAAAGAGACAGCAGCATTCCAGGCTCTTTAATGATGGTAAAGGTGAAGTTGATAGTATAAGTGAAATTTGAGACTGAGTTGTAGCAGACTGTATCCTAAATTATCACCAAGAATTCATGAGCAAACAATATATTTCCAAAGCCAAAAAGAAAATATAGCACGTTCATTGCACAGGGGAAACTTCATCCAGTATTTTGTGACAAGAGTTTGGACTGTCACATTTTGCTAAAGGATGTTGACAGTGTTTATTGTTATTGATATTTATGCAACAAAATTTACTTATTACAGCACATTGATTGGATTAACACTAAAAGCAGTATGTACGGAGGTGGTTGGAAGGGAAAAAATGATGTAGAAATGAAAAAATGGGTTGAATTGATCCTTTTCATTGGTATTTTTAAATCTTAATGAATATGTTTTTGCATCTATGGAATCAAGAACTTGACTGAAGAAAATTTCAAGCTATTGAAGTCTTCAAAAGGGTTATGCATTTTGATGATACATGAGCAAAAAGAACCAGCTTAATAGTCAGAACCTCTAAGAGACAAGTACAGTTGATTCTCATATTTTGCAGATTGCATATTTGCCCCCTTGCTAAAATCTATTTGTAAGTCCAAAATCAGAACTGGTGGCACTTTCACTATCATTCACAGGCAGGTGCATACAAAGGGTGATGAATAATAGGAATTGCTTGGCTCACTTGTTCCCAGCTGAAGTCGAATGAGGCAGCTTCATTTTCAGTGCCCTGCCTTCCTGTTTCAGCCCTCATACTGCAAACAAGTGTCCTTTTCATGGTCTCCAGTGATAACATTTTTGCATTTTTGTGTGAAATGGGGTACTTCAAATTTCTGTCACAAGATATTGGAGTTCTTTCTGTTCAGTGACTGACAGGGTGATTTCATTTTTTTTTTTTAATTCCTCTTCCAAGGATATTTTTTCCATTGCTTTTCAGAGAGAGTGGAAGTGGGAGAGAGAGAGATACATTGATTGGTTGCCCTCCCTCCCTCACCTGCCCTAACTGGGACTCAGGCATCAAGCCTGCAGCTGAGGTACATGCCCTTGGCTGGAATCGAACCCAGGACCCTTCGACTGATGCTCTAACCACTGAGCAAACGGGCTGGGGCGGTGATTTCACTTTTTAAAATGCCCCTCCGAGTTGTGCTGAATGCTAATGTTCCAGAGAGCAAGGAGGCTGTGATGTGGAGCAAATGTGGGTGTTAGACAAGCCTCATTCAGGCATGAGTTACAGCACTGTTGGCTGTGAGTTCATTGTTTATGAATCAATAATGCATATTAAATGAGGTGTCTATAAACAAACACACTTCAAACAAGGTGATGTGTTGATCTGTTTACCTGGTGAAAAATAGAAGGAACTGAACCCTGCATTCACTAATTCGGAGTCTGCAGCAACTTTATAGAAATATACATACCACAAATAACAAGAAACTACTATGTACAAGATGAATATGTTCCAGTGACATTAAAAGAACGTTGTCCATTTTCATTATGCAGCAGGTTCTTGAATAACATTTCATTCCAATCAGCCTGTGGTAAAATCAGTTTTGTTGTTCGTGGTTTCACTTAAAGTTGCAGAACCTACTATTGACATTGAGGATTTAAACTGTCTGTACTTTCAAGGTCAAGAAAATATGGAATAAAAATAGGGTTTGTTATGTTTAAATTCTTATTAAAATTATCTAATGAAGTTCATTTAACTTTCCTTTCATTCTTATGTAAATTTTCACAAAATGACTTAAAACCATTAACAACTTTCGTAAGGCTTATTTGACCCAGAAAAAAACTGTTTTACTTTGTAGGCTGTGGGTTAATAAAAGCTGAAGGCACAAGGAAACGATTCACTGGCAGCAGTTTACCTGACGCTTAGATGCCATGAGTTGGTGGTAGTATTCTGGTGGTCCAGCTGAATCTGGAATACTTCCTAATACAGATTTTCCAGTACTTTTCTTTTTTGAGTTATTTACAAACTGATGAAAGTACTCTCTGATGAAGGTTCCAGAGTTGTATATTTGTAGGTGAGGCCAGTCTATTTGCTGTAGGAACCAGAAAAGCAAGTTACAGGTTAGATCTATAGACCTTTAGTATTCCTAAGTTCACTACCTATTAACAGAATGTCAGAAATGGTGGGTTGTGCCAAAACCTTTTTAAGAGTGAATATATACATAGTTAAAAGACTGCTTCTTTATTTGTAACTATTTATGAGAGATGCTGTTGTTAAAAACCAACCCTGAAATCTGTGTTTGTCTCTGGTGGTCTTTAGTGTATTTTCTGTTTGTTTCTCACTCTTCCCTGTTGGACTAAGCTCAAAAGCATGAATGGTACATTATTTATGAATTCTATGCTAAGTATAGTGCTTGATACTAAGTATTCTGGGATTCACTGAATGGTGATCTAGTGAATTTTTGATGAAGAAATTGATACACAGATTAAATTATATGTCCAGATTACTAATTAAGTAGGAAGGCCTCAGCATCTTCTTCAGACTCCTCTGTAGGCCCTATTCTTGCTTTTTTTTAAAAATTATAAAATGTTAAGGAAAGTCTGTGAAGTTCTCCCCACATTCTTAAATATACTGGTTAGGCTAGTCATCGTTCTCCATTTTTAAGAAATCATTTAAAAGTTTGTAGTAAGTACACATTTGGTCTTTTCAATCTAACAGGTATCTTCTTGGCTACAGAAAAGTATTAATATAGTTTTCATTTTAAAAATACATGAATTAGCTAGTCTTATTAAGAAATAAACATTAATTCCTGTTTGTCTAAGAATTATTTAGATTAAGTTAGAAAGATTTTAGAAAGTTTAATTAGAAAGCCTGCACATTTTTACTGCAATGTTTGAATTGATTAGTTAATTTTAGAATGAACTCAGCTAGATTATTGAATAATAGTTAGGGACCTTTATTAAAGGAAAAACTTATAAAGCTATATGAATAGCTATGTGACTTGTTATAATAATGCCCACCTTATTTCTTTGACCATTGTTTTGTGAAATTTTTCTCTTAGCTTGATAAAGATGACATGGTTTACATGGAAGCATATGACAAGTTGCTGGAGTCCTGGCTGACTTTGGTCCAAGATGACAAACATTTCCATAAAGGCTTTTTTACCCAGCATGCAGTTCAAGTCTTCAATTCCTATATTCAGTGCCACCTGGCTGCTCCAGATGGCACAAGGAATTTGGTAAGTTTTAAGCCAGATTGTGAATAAAAAATCTGGTTCAGTATAGGCTCTGTTTTGTCTGTTTTTATCCTCTTGTACATTGTGTAATGCTAGAAATTTGGGCTGACCTTAGAAGATTTGCTGAGAGCATTAGATAGAGAGCAAAAGTGGCCCCTTGTCTGAATGCACCATGTTTTGTGGTATGTGGCTAGTAGTTAACCTCCCTTTTCTTCAATTTTCAGTTACCCACCTGTGGCTTTCTATTTGTCAAGTGGAATTAATGACTTCTTGTTTCCAAGGATCATGGATCTTAAAGATGTCAGATCTTTGTAGTGACAGAAGTTAAATTCTGTGGTGTGGGAGGTGGGTTGTGAGTGGGCATTTAACTGTGTTTACATATGTGTGCTATGGGTTTATATCCTCTGCTTCTTTCTCCTGTATTTTCCGCTTTCCTCCCTTTGGGTGACTATAGGGCTGTCAGCCCTGTTAGAAAGGGGTTCCTAGACAGCTGCACTGAAGGCTGGCTCTGTCTATCTCCCCTTCTCATGTGAAGTGGAGAAGCTATATCACAGTGCAACAGGATTACGTGGCTTATGGGACGAAGGTGTGCAGCTCATTACTCATTATTTCTCTCATTGATAACAGACTGCCAATGGTGTGGCCTCTCGTGAGGAAGAGGAAATAAGTGAGCTTCAAGAGGATGACCGAGACCAGTTTTCAGATCAACTAGCCAGTGTAGGAATGCTAGGAAGAGTTGCTGCAGAGCACTGTATACCTCTTCTGACAAGGTACACACAGTCCAGAGAACCCATGGAGCAAATACTCTGTACTCACACTTTCCTGGAGAGCACTTTTTACACCCCTACCCCGTATGTACCCAGTACACTGGAGCAAATGGACAGAAACACACTCATGGTTGCATTCCTTGGCTTTTGTACACTGGAGCCAGGCACTATAGCATAGATGGCAGAGAGATTATGGAAACATGGTATGAGACATGATTTGACCAGTATCAATAAAAACTTGGAATAACCAATTTTCATATACCTGTTGTAAACCTTGATTATTTGTAAATCAATGTTTTAATTCTGTCATAAATGATAAATCACAGTTCCTATAGTGCTGTGAGAACAGTTGTGTACACAAATAAATACTTCCATATATATGTTTTTGTGCTGATGTCTTAATTTATGTTGTCTAACACATGGAAATTATGTTATTCTAGGTCTTTGCTTATTGGACTTTATGAAACTATTGTGTTTTCTTTTTTTAGTTTATTAGAAGAAAGAGTAACCAGGCTCCACAGTCAGTTGCAGCGACATCAGCAGCAGTTACTTGCTTCACCTGGTTCAAGCGCCATTGACAACAAAATGCTTGATGAGCTATATGAAGATATTCACTGGCTTATTTTAGTTACAGGTTGGTTGGTTGTTTCTTTTTAAAATGTAATAGTCAGCTGAGCAGTTTAGGCCTTAAAAAGAAGCTTCATGTATTAAAAATGATATTCCATACATAGTATTGGATGAAATTTGATGGCAGCTGCTATATTACAGCTATAGATGCATTTAAAAAAAATACTGGCTAACATGTATTCATTGCCTGTTGCATACCAAATGTTTTATGTGGAGCTCATTGTAGCCCACTGAATTGGTGCAATTATTAGGTATTATTATTATTGTCATTATTATTATCCCCTTCTTATAAATGAAGAATCTGAGACTTAGAGAGTTATAAGGAACTAGCCCATGGTTACACTGCTATTAATTTTTGGAGCCAGAATGCAAATCTAGGCAGTCTGACTTTTTAGAGTCTTCTTCTGTAACCATATTGTCAAGTATTTCTGTATTTTAAATAGTCAGGGAAAAAAAAATCTTTATTTTTTAAAAGGCATCCCTAAATATTGACTTTTGATATAGATAATAGTAGCATTCCTATTAACTTTACAGAATATATTATTGAAAACTACTAAAAGGTAGTAGATTAAAAAGCCTACATGTCAATATGAATGATAAAATTGTTGAATTAGTCCTTTATAAAATTGTAGACATTAGTCCTTTGTTTTTTCCTGTTTTTGAGAGATTATTGAGAAATAGAAAGTTTCTTCTCACCAAATTTGAAATAACATTAAATTTATAATTTACATTTACACCAATTTATATGCTGTATATAAATCAAATAAAGCAAAACATTTATAGTGCAATTTGATAAATGTAGATTTGTTAAGTGTTCGTTTTTAATTTTTTTTAAACTGAAGGCTACCTCTTAGCTGATGATACTCAGGGAGAGACTCCGCTAATACCTCCAGAAATAATGGAATATTCCATTAAGCATTCATCTGAAGTTGACATTAATACAACACTTCAAATTTTGGGATCTCCAGGAGAAAAGGCTTCTTCCATCCCAGGGTACAACAGAACAGATTCTGTGATTAGGTAATATAAACTCTAGCTGTGCTCTTGTAATTTATACTGTTTTATTAAGTTCTGAGTTGATGGGTAGATGACTTGAGGGATAGGTACGTTATAAATCTGATACATGAAAGAAGATAAAATTTTGAGAAGCCTTGAAATGCACAAGGACGGCAAGTACTCAGTATATTTAAGCATTGCCACTCTGGTCAGAGATTGACAGCCATACCCAGTAATGACAAGCATACAGTTATTCTAAATACAGGGAGACTGGGGGGACATTTGCTTTAATGCACTGTGATCATACCTGTCAGAAAGCAGTACTGATGACAGGTACAGGCACCCTAAATCGAAGAAACAGAATATGAGATTCTTATATACCAGATGAACATTAACAAGTACTTATTGTTCATAAAGCTAAAACTATATTTTAGTGTCTTTCTTAAGGAAAATGGATTCTTATCTTATAAAATAGAAATATTTATCCTGAATGTGTAAAACTTGAAAGCCCTGTCAGTGAAGGTACAAGACTATGTGCCACAAATGAAAGAATTCATTTTGATCTTCCTAATAGTAATGGCAACTTTTTCATTACTTCTTAATGGTGACATTAAGGAGGGATAGACCTGAACTAAATGTTCTCCTAAAATGGAATTTGAAAACAGTATTTTGAATTTCAATATATTGAAATTTAGGTTGCAGACAGAGATGTCAGTAATGAAATAATATTGGTTTTTGTCAGTTGCAAAATCAGTAACTTAAACAGGGTGCTGTCCCCCTTATTCTCTTTATCTTAATGCCAGAATACATGGATATCACTTAAGCCTATGCAGTAGAAAATAAGATTTTTAAAAAATTGAACTCATAAGCTAATATCAAGGAGATGTTTGGGAATTTATTCCTTTATTGTTGCATTCTCTTGTTTGAAATAAAGTGTCAATGCTCTATTGGAAAAGTTTTGTCTCTTCCTTTTAGGATGACTACAGGCCTAAGATTAAGTATGTAGAAATCATTGCTTTTGCTTTGGTTTGATTCATGGTGAATGGTATTTCAAAGGCAGTTCATTTCAGGGTGCTGTCACGTGATATTCTTTGTCATATTTCTTGTCTGGGCAGTACCATCAGGAATGTTTTCCTTGTATTTTCAGTGCTTTTTCAATTTTTGCCAGTCTCAGGTATCACTGTGGGAGCAAAACATCTGAGAGCACAGACTATGGAGGGATGAGGGGAGAGTTAGAACAACCACCAAAAAAAAATCATCACTTTTTTTTTAGTCCAAAGAATTAAGGTGAAATTGAATGGTATGTAGGAAAAATATCCCTTATTTGTTTGAAAAACTAATTTATATTTCTTGAAATTATTACTTGACAGATAGTTATTGAGTATCTCTGATATTAGGCCCTGTTCTAGTCATTTGGGATACATTAGTGAGCAAAACAGACAAATTGCTCCCCTTCTGAAGCTCCCTATAGAGGAAAGACAATAAATCAGTTAATAATGTCTTCTGTTTGGAGATCATAAGTGCTGTGGTAAGAAGCTGAACAGGGTTGGGGATCAGAGTTGCAGACTCAGGGACTGCTTGTAACTTGAAATAGTGTAGTCAGTGTTGGCTTCCTTTAAAAGGTGTTTGGTGAGCCAATGCTTGAGGTTGGTGAGGGGCTGGGGAAGCCGAGGAAGAGCATTGCAACAGTGAACAGTGGATGCCAAGGCCCCACCACAGGTGGGCATCCAGGAGCCATAGGAACTGCTACTATGGGTGGAGCAGAGTGAGGAAGAATTTTGTAGTTAGAAGGGAAGGAAAATGGGATCAGTGAAATCTTTGGGCCTTTGTAGTTTCTGCTCTGAATGGGGTGGGTGCTCTTGCATGGTTTTGAGCAGAAGAGGTGACCGTGCTGCATTAAGTGTAAATTACCAAGGGCAGAGGTAGGAGCAGGGAGACCAGTAAAGAGGCTAGTGCTGTCATCCAGAGAAAGATGCTTGTCCAGACCAGAATGATAGTAGAAAGCTCTCTTTGACTCACTGTGCTGACTTTTGGTTTATGAAATGAAAAGGTAATCCAAGATTTCCCATAATACCAAGACTGAATGCTGTCTGAAATGTAAAATATGTTCAGATAGCATGGTGAAGAAACTGAAGACCAGGGTATCAATCTTGCAATGGCAACAACTAAAACAATGTTGTGACGTTGTAATCAGTTGTTTCAAGTTCTCTACATGTCAAGGTCTGAGAATGCAGTAGTGATGTAGGAGGACCAAGGAGGGACTCCTCAGAAGAGGTGGCATTTAAATGGACACTTGGCGGATGAATGGGAGTTTGTAGCATACAGAGGAAGGAGAAGAGTATTCCAGGCACTGATAGCAGCCTAGCAAAGTGGCCATGTGAGAGGAGGCTCATGTACACACATGAGGGGAGAGGTGTTTGTTGGAGGTTAAGAGGTAGGGTGAGCTGTGGAGTGGACTAATGAAGTTGGATTAAAAGTGTTGAAAAGAGTTTGAAACAGGGAAGTCAGCTAATCAAATTGTTTTATTAGAAGATTACAGTGTGGAAGCTGGATGCAAAGGATGGTTGGTAAGTTAGGAAGCATTTCCGTTGGAGTGAAAAGATTGAAAGGGCAGATGGGTGATAGGCGTTTCTGGGGCAGCTCTTTGGGACTTTGGGGTTGATCGAGGGTGGTGAAGAGAGAGGCAGGAATGAGGACAGGCTCCCAGGAGCCCCGGGTTCATCTGCTGGTGGTACTCCTATTGACCTTGCTCCCATTTTTCAAAACAAGGGCAAAACTCTTCCTCGTTCCAAGTCTTACTGTGGTGGGTTGGCAGGTGTGTAGAAACCTGCGGAGTTCCAGATAGTGTGGTATTGGAATTGAGTGACTGAATAATGGAAAACTAGTAATTTTACAAGTCAGGAGGTTTTTAGTCCTTTGCCTTAAATAACACTGAAGAATGATCTAATAAAGCTGTCAGTTATCATATTATTAAAAATAGTTTTTGTTGGTAGGGCTCTGTGATTTTTGGCATATAACTTGTAAGAAGTTCAAATAATTGAGGGCTCTGCTATTTTTAAAATGCTTTCAGTTTACTCACATGAATATGTTTTCTCAGTTTTTTAATCTATTAAAATGAAAAACATTTCAACTTTTTCTCATTCTAGCAATAAGTACATTTTTTCACACATAAGCTAATTTGGAGAATAAAACCCTGCCATATCGGTCTCATTCAGAGATACATAAAATTTCATATTTATGTTTAATAATTTAAATGTGTGTTTATATTTTGTGCAATTATGTATTAGTAAATATTGTAATAAGTCAATACAGAAGACATTTTAAAAGTCTTACCATCATTGGAAATTTTATAAAATTATGTTTTAGTAGCTAGACATATTTGTTTCAGAGAAGCGTACCGTGTGATCAATAAAATGAGTATAAATTTATTATATTAGGATAATAGTCTGTGGGGCAATGAAATCAAAATAAAAATTTAAGGAGAAAAACAAACAATGTAAAGTTTCCAACTGTTAAAAACTATTTTTTTCAAATGGATTGTGAGTATCCAACAGTATAGTAATTAAATTCCAGTGCATAAAAGTTTGAGCACTGGTGGTAAAGGGAGTATAGATAGTGAAAAAGAAGAATTTCGGGCACAGAACCTTAGAAACCACCTTTTTAAAGAAGGAGGTCAGAGGAGAGGAGGATGTCATAACCTGGGGAAGAGTAAGAAACAGATTAGGGGAAATATGGAAAACACGGTACAAAGGAAGACATTTCAAAAGGGCGAAGTGCTCAGCAGCATCTGGTATTTCTGGGACACCCAGCTGGATAAAGAACTGAAATGTCTATAAGATTTCATCACAAGGGGACAGTTCAGTCATCTTGAGAGCAGTAGGGACAGTAGAAGCCAGACTTCATGTAATTAAAACCTCTTTCTTGGCACTGATATTCACAAAATGGTGTGATAATGGGTTCTTCCAGTCAAATCCTTGCTTTGCCTTTTAGCTAAAGGCAAGTTAAATATATATCACTTGTGGTTATGTGCTCCCCTAATCCCATGTCACGCTGAGTTGTTAACACACAGCCATGTGACTTACGTAGTGTAGAAAAGGACATTGCATAGACCATGTAGGTTATTTTTCTTGTAAGATTTTTATTTTATAATACCATTAAGAACCAAGTTTATTAGGAAATGAATAGGACTATCAGATTTTTTTTTTATCCTCACCCAAGGATATGTTTATTAATTTTTTTTTTTTTAGAGTGAGAGGAAGGTGGGGGAGAGAGAGAAACATCGATTGGTTCCTTCCTGTAAGCACCCCAACTGGGGATCAAACCCGCAACCTAGGTATGTGCTTTGACCGGGAATCGAACCCACAGCCTCTTTGGTGTACAGGACGACGCTCCAACCAACTGAACCATCCAACTGGGGCAGGACTGTGAGATTTAGAGATAGGACTCAATATTCAAAACATTCTGAATAGGTCTGTTACCAAATCCTGCACCATAAAATGACCAGTATATTATAAAAACAAATAGTGGTAATCATGTCAGTGTTATGTAGTTATGGTGTGGGTGAAGAATTTAGCATTTACTCCTAACTTTTATTTTTTTAAATATGTTTTTATTGATCTTAGGAAGGGGGGTGAGAAACACTGATCGATTGCTTCCTGATCAGGGATAGAACCCCAAACCTGGGCATGTGCCTTGATAGGGAATCAAACTGGCGACCTTTCGGTGCATGGGACAATGCTCAAACAACTGAGTCACACTGGCCAGGGCAACTCTAAACTTTAAAATTTTTGTATTTCTCTATTTTGAGTCTGAAAAATCTATTTAGACAGTAATGCAGGTACAACTTCAGCAGATGGATGTCTCTGACCAGGACTCCTATCCCTTTCTTTGTCTTGTTTGCTGCTTCCTGAAAGGTCAGCAACAAAGTGGGGCATTTGTCTGCAGCCTTATTAATGAAAATGTCATGTACAGCCTGGCCTAAATCCAGAGAGTTTGGAAACAAAAAGGGACTTTTATGAAGAAAATAACTAATAAATAGATCGAAGAATAAATGACTTCTTTTTGTACCCATAGGCTGTTATCTGCCGTTCTCAGAGTTTCGGAAGTTGAATCTCGAGCAATAAGAGCAGATCTCACTCATCTGCTAAGCCCTCAAATGGGCAAAGACATTGTTTGGTTTCTAAAACGCTGGGCAAAGACTTATCTTCTGGTGGATGAGAAGCTATATGATCAGGTCAGAATGTAAAACTGTTTAACTTCATTTGGATTTATGATTTTGGCAGTTGTAGAAGTGAGAACATTTTCTTGGAGATTTTTCTCATCAGAATGTGACTAAGAACTGAACATTTTCCACATTGAAGAGCACTGTATTAATGGCATGCTATTTTAATAACTTTTCTTAGGGCACATTCACTTGATTCAGGGTATTTTAACCAATATTAAGTTATAGATTACTGTTTGAGAATGTATTATGTTCTTTGTATTTGATGTGAACTAAGCAATGCTTCAGATTTAGATGTTAACTTCAGTTTCATTTTTCTATGGATTTTTTTTTAAGCTGGTCTTTCTTTCTGGCCTAAAAAATTGGTTTTCTCTTTAAGATAAGTCTGCCATTCAGTACAGCATTTGGAGCAGATACTGAGGGTTCTCAGTGGATTATTGGCTACCTCTTACAGAAAGTCATCAGCAACCTCTCAGTGTGGAGTAGTGAGCAGGACCTTGCAAGTGACACTGTGCAGCTCCTTGTCACGTTAGTGGAAAGAAGAGAAAGGTAAGTTGATTGTAAGAGCCAGGCTGTGTGTAATTAGCTTGCTTTTTAGTGTAGACTTTGCAAGTGACCAACATTTATGTGGTCCTAAGGTCTAGGTAAACCCTGCATTTCTGGAGCAGTATGTTTTAAAAAGCACCGTCATATTATTATTACAAGTGCAAATAGGGCTTTCCTGTGTTACAAGTGAGGGTTGCGTTGACTGTTTAAGGGTTTGGCATTGAAGTATCTTAATTTAGTAATTTATTTATAAATTAAAGTTTTAAAGAACTTTAATATAAAACAGTCTCACTTGACTTTTCAGATATCCTGTTAGTATTATCCCATTTTAAAGATGAGGAAAACTGATAATTTAATAATTAATTTAATTTAATTTTGTAAAGTAAAATTTTTAGTGCTTTCTACAACAAATTTGGGAAATGTTTTTATTTTTCTTACTGCATAGGAATACGATTATTATAATTACTATTGTCATTGGCTACTATTGATTGGTTTCTTATAATATACTAGGTACTGTTCCAAGCATTTCATATGAAGTATCTCATTTAATCACATCAGTCTCAGCCATGAGCTTTAGGGTTGTTATTACTGTTGTTATCCCTATTTTACAGATCAGGAAACTGATACATAAGAGAGATTAAATACATTTTACATTGTCAGATTACCAATGGGAATTGAATGCAAGCTCGTGGGACTCCAAAGTCTGTGCCCAGTTTACTGTACTTTAAAATTAATTAAATCCAGCCACCTTCCATTTTGTTTACTTAGTATACATATGATGTAAGTGGTATATCTTTCTTTTGTTGTTTCTGCCCATAGGGCAAACCTAGTAATCCAGTGTGAAAACTGGTGGAATTTAGCTAAACAGTTTGCAAACCGAAGCCCCCCTCTGAATTTTCTGTCCAGTCCGGTGCAGAGGACCCTGATGAAGGCTCTTGTCCTGGGAGGTTTTGCACAGATGGACACAGAAACCAAACAACAGTATTGGACCGAGGTAACAGTTCCCCTGATTCTGATTCCACCCTCTGGTAGAACTTTGTTGGTTTATCTGTGTGTTGCCATAAAATAGTCCACAGAGACATAAACATTGGTCATCACTTTTCTGATAATTTTCCTTCCTAATGTATCATGTGTTCTGCAGTTTAGGTATATTTTCCCCCCCAACTCAAATGAGAATCTGAACTGGTATATTCTTTATTAAGAATCAATGAGCTCTAGCCAGTTTGGCTTAGTGGTTAGAGTATCAGCCCACAGACTGAAGGGTCTCCAGTTCGATTCTGGTCAAGGGCATGTACCTCTGTTGCAGGCTCAATCCCTGGCCCCGGTCAGGGCGTGTGCAGGAGGCAACCAATCCATGTGTCTCTCACTTCGATGTTTCCCTCTCTCTCTCTCTCTCTGAAAAGCAAGGGGGAAAAATATCCTTGGGTGAGGTTTTAAAAAAAAGAGTCAGTGAAATGTTCTTTTGTCTTGAACAAGGAGATATGTATGAACCACTGTATTAGTTTGCTAAGGCTGCTATAACAGAATACCACAAACTTAGTGGCTTTAACAACAGAAATTTATTGTCTCACACTTCTGGAGACTGGAAGTCTGAGATCAGTTGTGGAAGGGTTGATTCTGTCTGAGGCTTCGAGGGAGAATCTGGTACAGGCCTCTCTTGACTTCTGGGGCTTTACTGCCAATCTTTGGTGTTCCTTGGCTTCTGGACACACCACTCCCACCTCTGTCTTCACCTTCACGTGATAGTCTCCATGTTCACATGCCTGTGTCCAAATTTCCCCTTTTTATAAGGACACCAGTCATATTGGATTAGGGGATCTACTCTAATGACTTGATCTTAATTTAATTATATCTGAAAACAACCCTATTTCCACATAAAGCTCTGCTCTGAGTTCCTGGGGGTTTGGATTTCAGCATACCAATTTTGCAGGGACATAATTCAACCCATAACAACCACCATGAATATTGCCTCATGTAATGAGCTTTAAATTGGGAACCAAGACTTAACAATGGTATGTAGGTTACCAGCCTATAGTCCATGTGACTAGAAGGAGCAGACATTAGGCAGTTGTGACTTCAGAACCAGAAGAAAAACCAGGTTGACTATGTATTATAGTTGAAATAATTATGTTATTTTATGTACAGCTTTAAATAGAATTAAGATATTATCTTCATGAATATGCCTGTTGACTCTTATACTCAGCATAAGACTGAATATCCAAAGTTATGTTCTATGCTAAGAGGAGTTGGAAAGGAAAAAAACAGGCAAGAGCTTGTGTTAGACTTGACTCTGTAGAACAGAGATTGGCAAACTGTAGCCCACAGACCAAATGTAGCCTGCTGTGTGTTCTTATAAAGTTTTATTGAAACACAGTCACTCTCAGTTGTTTGCATGTTGTCTATGGCTGTGTCTGAGTGACAGCACAGTCATAACTGAGTAGTTGGGCCAGAGGTGGCGTATCCTGCCAAGTCTAAAATATTTACCCTCTTGCCGTTTATACAGGTTGATGTGTAAGTGGGTTTTCAGTTGTTCATATGGAAAATCATACAATAAATAATAAAAAATACAAGAATAAGCTCTGTTTTGTATACTCACAATTGTAAACCTACTTTTGCCCACCCCTGTAGAAAACTGTCCCTACTATGGAGGCTTAATGTTTTATTGGAAAGGGATGAGGATAGTGGCCAGACTCTGGATAGCATTGAAGTTGTGTTCTGTGATTTGTGGGATTTCCTTTTTTCTTTTCTCTCTCTCTCTCTCTTTCTCTTTCTCTTTCTTGAAGCTAAATTACTTACGGAAATGAGATGATAGCATGCACTTGTTTTTCCATAAATTACAATTTTTGTTTTATTGAGATGTAACTGACATACATACTATATAAGTTTAAGGTGTACAGCATAATGATTTGACTTACATATAATGTGAAATAATTATTGCAGTAAGTTTAGTTATATCATCTATCATCTCCTATAGATAAATAAAAAGGAAAAGCAAAAAAGAAAAATTTTCCTTGTGATAACTCTTAGGATTTACTCTCCTAACAGCTTTCTCATCAGTCATACAGTGTTAGCCATAGTTGTCATGTTGTATATCACATTCCTAGTGCTTATTTATCTTAAAACTGGGAGATTGTACCTTCTGACTACCTTTGGTGGGGGCTTTTTTGTTTTTTCAGAAAAATAGATTCCACATGTAAAGGAAATCATACAGTATTTGTCTTTCTCTGTCTGACTTATTTCCCATAGTATAACGCCCTCAATGTCCATTCATGTTTTCTCAATAGAGGATATTTTTGTGTGTGTGTTTGTGGATTTTTTTTTTATGGCTGAATAGTATTCCATCATATATTTACACCACAACTTTTTTTATCCATCATCCATTGATGGACATTTAAACTTAGGCTGTTTCCATGTCTTGGCTATTGTATATAATGCTGCTGTGGACCTATAGGTGCAGATATCTTTTCAAATTAGTGTTTTCATTTCCTCTGACTATATACCCAGAAGTGGAATTGCTGTGTCATATTGTAGTTCTATTTTTAATTTTTTGAGACGCCTCCATATTATTTTTCATAGTGGCTGCACCAGTTTACAATCCTACCAACACTGCATGAGCTTTCCCTTTTCTCCACATCCTCACCATCATTTATCTCTTGTCTTTTTTATAACAGCCATTCTAACAGGTGTGAGGTAATGTCTGCCTCATGCAGGAGTTTTGATGACCCTCAAAATGGGGGACATAATGTGTGGTTCAGATATTCTTTGTTTTTTGTACTTTTTCTACCTCCAACAATTAAAAATGTTTTGGAAAGTGACTGTCCTAGTTGAGGAAATGAAGTTGAAGAAATAAATAAGGTATGTGAATTAGCCTTTTAGAAAATCCATGCTTTGTTTTTATAGGTTCTTCAGCCACTGCAGCAGCGATTCTTAAGGGTGATAAATCAGGAAAACTTTCAGCAGATGTGCCAGCAGGAGGAGGTCAAGCAGGAAATAACTGCCACGCTCGAGGCCCTGTGTGGCATTGCTGAGGCTACCCAGATTGACAATGTCGCGATCCTTTTTAATTTCTTAATGGACTTCCTTACCAATTGCATTGGATTGATGGAAGTTTACAAAAATACACCAGAGACTGTCAATCTCATAATAGAAGTTTTTGTTGAAGTTGCACATAAACAGATATGCTATCTTGGAGAGGTGAGCGCTTTCTAATTTTATCCCTTCAGGATTAAAACTCTTTTAAAGCTATAACAAAATAATAAATACTTTCCTTCTAATTTAATTAATATTATCTGAAATGTTTTTATGCCTCCAAAAGGTTTTTCAAAAAGACTTTTCAAAAGAATATAGAATTCAGAGGAAGGCGTGTTGAATGAATACAAATTCTTGCCAAAAAACATGTTAACAGTCAGTAATTTCTTTGGGCTAATATTAAATCAAACTCATTCAAATGAAGAATATGATAAAACAAATGGATCATGGTAGAGAACTTTAACCAATTTCTCTGTGGTAGAACACTTAAGGCCTCAAAAAAAATTTTTTTTTTAAATATATCTTTATCGATTTCATAGAGAGGAAAGGAGAGGGATAGAGAGATACAAACATCAATGATGAGAGAGTCATGGATCGGCTGCCTCCTGCACGTCCCTGACTGGGGATCGAGCCCGAAACCTGGGCATATTCCCTGACCGGGAATCGAACCCTGATCGCCTGGATCCTGGGTTGACGCTCAACTGCTGAGCCACTCCCGGCCGGGCAGGCCTCAGATTTTTAATGGCAGTTTGTACCTTTTTTTTGCAAATCAGATGAGTGTTTAGACACACTAAATTCTTTTATATTCAACAAGCAAAGATGTACTTTTTGTCCTATTAAATTATTTAGAAAGCTCTTTAAAATGTATGTTTGTACTTATTAGCAGATTAGCTTAAATCTTGTCCAAATCATTTAATATGGGCTCCTGATTTGTAATTTTTAAAATTAGATCAAAGGAACCCACTTGAAAATGAGGTTACATTTTAAATATTAAAAATGTATTCACAGGTAAGTTATTGAGAGGACATGACAGTGCCATTCTCATGTTTAAGGCCACTGTTTGATACTCTGTTTTTGCAAGTTATACAACTTGAAATCTTAAAATCAAGGAAGCTGAATAGCAGCAGTAAAGTAGTTCTGTTGCCAAAATCTTACCTCTCTAGTCAAAGGAATAAAAAAATTGGATGCCAGATTTTATTGCTGGAAAATTGCTAATATTTTAAACATGGTTAATGAGTGTGCACTTTTTTCATCTTTGTTAATTTTTTAAAATATGTTTTTATTGATTTCAGAGAGAGAAAGGGAGAGGGAGAGAGAAATAGAAACATCAATGATGAGAGGCATTGATTGGCTGCCTCCTGCATGCCCCCTACTGGGGATTGAGCCGGCAACCTGGGCACTTGACTAAGAATCGAACTGTGACCTCCTGGTTCATGGGTCGATACTCAACCACTGAGCCATGCCAGCCGGGCTTTTTTGTTAATATTTTAATGTAGTTTTAAACAAGTATTTAAGATCTATTGGGATTTAGAGTAAATTTATTAGATTATATTTTTTAATTTATTTAATATTTATATTTGTTTTGTTAGCATAATTTCTGCATGCCTTTTTACAGTCCAAAGCAATGAACTTATATGAAGCCTGCCTCACTTTGCTGCAAGTATATTCTAAGAATAATTTGGGGCGGCAGAGAGTGGATGTCACAGCCGAGGAGGAACAATACCAGGACCTACTTCTTATTATGGAACTGCTTACCAACCTTCTGTCAAAAGAGTTCATAGATTTCAGTGATACAGGTAGGGTGTAAACTTTGTTGTTGTTGTTTTTGTTAAAGCAAAGGGTATTTTGTTAAGTGAAATCTGATGAGGAAGTTCAGTTTACAAAATAGATGAAAGTGTCATCTCTGTGATCACTGTAAAGTGAGGGTGGGATCCCTGGCCCTTCCTACTTGGCTTTCCTCTTATAAGAAGAATAGTAAGATTTTCCATCTGTTAGGTTCTTACTAAATGCCAGGTGCTATTCCTATCACAATGGCATGAAGTATGTACCACTGTTAAACTCATTTTATATATGAGAAACAAGCACAAGAGGTTATATGTCACTTGCCCACAGATGTGGATCAACTGCTAAGTTGCAGGACTAGATTCACATCCCTGCACCAGATTTCATTTACACTTTACTGACTGGTCCCTCCTTAGTGTCCTTAGTTGGCTGCCCCAGGAAAGCTTCCAGAGTGAGGCATGGGAATCCTTGTTGGGTGGGAAATGCTGAACTCTGGAGCTCAGAGCCCACCCTTGGGAGATTAACCTAGTGGCTTAAAGACAGCAGGACTCTGGGGAAGTCAGTCAGCCTTCCAGTGTCTTTCCTAACTTTTCAATGGGTGTGCTGAGAAATGCCCTTTAGAGTGTTCGTGGATGAGCTCAGAAGTCTCTGGTGCTGAGCTCAGTGCCTGGTAGCTAGGAGTTATTACAGGTGAGAACTTCGCCAGTAATTGAAAACTTACGTATTTGTAGAGTGTTCTCTCACCTCCCTCCTACCCCACAGCCTACCTTGCCTTAACACAAAAGAGATCTTGCTTTCTAAGAGAAAAACAAATCTGATCTAGCATCTCCTTTCATGTTAGGCAGATATTTGTTGTTGTGGACACTTGTTTTATATAAGATTCTCTTCTTGAGCTGGGTGCTATCACTTTCCACTTTCCTCATTATGCCCCATACTTGAGCTTGTTCTTTCTCTGTTTCCTTATTCACTGGACAACAGTTCTTTTCAGTGTCTGCACTATCCCAGGCACTGTCCGCTTCACAGTCTAGAAGGCTGATTCCTTCGCAGTTTAACTGGGCCCTCAGGTTTTCAAGGCCCTGTCCCACACCCCCTCAGTGCTTCCTTCCTATAAGGGCGCAACTGCCACTCTGTCAGGCCTGTCTCTCACACAAGTGTTGTACCCATTTTTCTGATTCCTTCAGGTCAGTCCTTAATTCAGGAGTTTCAACCTTTTCTAGGTCATGCACCTTTAAATCCTGAAGTAGCTATAGAGCCTTTTCCTTGAAAAGTGAGTGTTATACCAACCCACAGTTTCACACACTGTATCAGTTGATTTGTGGGCTCTTGGAAACTCTTCGGTAGACTTTCTAGGGTGTAAACACCAGGTCAGAACTCTGTACCCTGAGTAATCTGACTCAGAAATCAGAGCTGATATTGAAAGGGAGGGAGAACACTTAAGCATTTGGAGGGTAAAGCCCCTGCAGTCTCCCAGATTTATGGTACAAGTTGCATTTCGTCCTGCTGTTCTACAACAAATGGGAGAGCAAACACTATGGTAAACAGGAGAGGGGAGATTTTCAAAATAAAAGAGCAAAAAGATTCAAATTATAATTAAACACTAAAGAAAGAAATTGAGGTTAAAATGCTCAGGATTGAAAGTACAAAGTAAGGAGGGAAAGAATAAAATAAGGGTAGATAGGGTTGAAGTTTAGATGAAAGAAAAATGAAGACAGTTAAAATAGAAAAATGATAAAGAAACAGCATTAACTGGTTAAATAGATGATAAAAAGGAAGATAATATTTTTAACTCATTTAAAAAATAAAGATAATAGGTGAGATAAAATAAAATATTTTAAATATTATGAAATGAAATTAACATGCTAGGTGGGCTGTTAAAGGCGTAACTGGCAATGTACCTCTGTGCTCCATTCTTGTATCCTTAGCAGAGCTCATGGCTGGAGAGCTGCATCCACTAAGCCCCAGGCCACAGCCTACACATGGAGAGCCCATTTTGTTAGGGACGCCTGCCGGCAGTGCCAGGATAGCCTCACACCTCAGGCAGGTGCCGGCTTCCTGTTGGTGGACTCCAGGTTTGCATGCCTTGCTTTGGAAGATGGGATTCTTCCAACTAGAACTGAGACCCCTGTGGAGGAGTTCAGAATTAGGCTGAAAGGTGGTTTTAAAGTAGAATTGCATTTTTATTTTACCCCATTTTATCTTTTTTCCCCTTGTTCTAAAGTAATATGCTCTTAATAGAAAAAATTGGAAGTACAGAGATAGAAAAATCACCCATACTTTGACATAATTCAGAGTCAACTATAAATTGCATCTTGGTAATTTCCCTTTTGGTTCTTTTGTAGTTTTCTTTGCAATTATACTCTAAATATAATTTTATGTTCTGCCTCTTTTATTAATGTATTCTTGGCCTTTTCTTCATCATTAAAATTTTTCATGACTTTTTGATGGCTGAATGGTTTTCCATATTTTGGAATTTAACCAATTTCATTAATATTGGACATCTGCAGTGTTTATGATTTTGCTGTTATAAATAGAGATGCAGTAATCACTTCTGTGGACAAATCTCTGTCTGAATTTCTGATTATATCTTTAGTATATACAGTGCTCAAAAGGTTTTACTATATAACTTTTAGGGTAACTATTACACTATATCCTGACCAGCATGTAAATATTATTTAAAAGTCATCTTCAATTTAATTAAAAGTAGTAACTTTTAAAAATTTGCATTGCTTGATTAAAATGAACTGTTTTTCATTGGGTTGATGGTTTTGTTAGACATTTGTTATGGACTTTGCTCGCTTATCTATTTAGGTCTTAGGATTCCTATTCATTTATAGGTACTCTTTATGGATTAAGGATAATAACCCTTCATCATGGTAGCTTTTTTTAAAAAAGTGACTTTCTTTTTTATGTAACATTTTAATTTCTACATTTCCCCCCATTCCTTTTCAGCTAGAAAAATTCCACACACCTAAGAGATAAAATAGATATTACCATGGAAATTATTTAATTCCTACTGTGACCAGCGTATCAGTGGAGTAGATTTACTTTTTAACAACATTGATTAAGCATTAGTTTTCTCTTATTATTGAAGAATTATATGTGATGTAAACACAGAATACCATCTGTATAGAGTACTCTGAGACCCTAAAAAGAAATACAGAAGGGTGATCCAGCCAAGCTTACCAGGTGTACTATTACCCAGTCAGATTTATTGTGGCTTAGGGTTTGAATCTGTTTTTACTTTCTCGAGGGTACACTGTATCCAGCTTTGCAGATTTGTTGATGTTATGGCTGTAAGACTGTGTGGTTTCTGTTTATAGATGAAGTGTTTAGGGGACATGACCCAGGGCAAGCAGCAAGCAGGTCTGTGTCAGCCGCGGATGTGGTTTTATATGGAGTCAACCTAATTCTGCCCTTGATGTCACAAGATCTTTTGAAGGTAATTGAAGGAAATGAATGTGAACATTAAAATGTGTATGCTTGAAGTTTCAAGATATTTTAGACAAGAATATGCCTCTGATTTAACTAAGGGATGTGAATACCTATTTGTCTGCTAAGTACACGTGAAAATCAAATGTTTGAGTTCCTGTTAGTTATTCACACTCATGTCTACAGCTCAGAACACAGGCCCTCACTCCTGCCTCAGAGTTCTGCATTCGAGATAGGTTACTGACAGAAAAAGTGGGTCTTTTAGAAACTGCATTCTAATGTTAGCAGTTTTCATCCCCTCATTTGTCATTAAGCAACTAAAGTTAAGTTAGATTTTCCAGTGTACACATTCCTCTGGTACTTGTTGAACATTATTCTCAGGTTGAGGGGTTGAAGAGCAGAAGGAATTTACAAGTTACTCCATGTAGAAATAGGATGGTAAGAAACCAAGACTCATACAGTTTTAAATTTTGTACCTTCTGACTATGTTGTGCCTTGGTTTCACCACTGAGCTCTTTTCATGAGTTGTCATAGGATTCTGAGGCTGAGGACAAGGACATGGATGGAGAGGAGGAGGGAGGCGTGTTCCCCTGTGCACACGTGCACAGACAGTGGGAGGGGGAGGAAGAGTGTATCAGAGTAAGAAGGCCATAGATTGCCAGCCCAGCCCTTCTCTCATAACCGATGTCTGTTGGAAAGGGTTGCAATGACCGTGAGCGAGGTGTTTGTGCACGAGTGGTAAGTTGGGGAAGTTTAGTCAACTCTATGTGGTGATTGCTTTTGGGGTTATTTATTTTTTTATAAAACAGAACATTAAACATTCAGATGTGTATTCTCTTAAGTGAGGTTAAACTATTAATTACTCTACCAGGGCTGTCCTAGCAGGCAATGAATTTTGGTAGTGTGAAGGGCTATTCTACATATAATCTTAACCATTGGTATTACCTTCTTGTGTTTTTCCAACATACTTAAATGCAAATAAACACATTCGTATAAGGGTTTTATTTACAGGTCATTTAGTTATTTGAGATTTGGCTATTTTGTTTACTTTTTAAGGTTAATACTATCTGGAATTGGCTGTAGCTTTTATTAATTATTCAGAAAATAATTGTTTCTATTATGTATTGCCATCATATCAGTTACTAAAATATTCCCTTTATTGTAACTTATTTTTACATTTAATTAAGTCTGTGTTTTCTGTATCTTATATTTGTTTCGAAAAAATCATTAGGCCCTGTCCTGGTAGCTCAGTTGGTTAGAATATCGTCCTGATACTCCAAGGTTGCGGGTTTAATCTGGGCACATACAAGAATCAGCCAATGAATGCATAAATAAGTGGAACAACAAATCGATGTTTCTCTCTCCCCGACTCCACCCTCTCCCCCCCTTCTTTTCTTGTTCTAAAATTAAAAAAAAATCATTATACTTAGAAAGTTGCCTGTTATTATGTTACTTTTTTGTATTAATGAAAATAAAGATAACATTAAGCATCTAAATATTTAATTTTTCTTTTTCAGTTTCCAACCCTTTGTAATCAGTACTACAAATTAATCACGTTTATCTGTGAGATTTTTCCTGAAAAAATACCACAGCTTCCTGAAGACCTTTTTAAAAGTTTGATGTGCTCTCTAGAACTGGGAATGACTTCATATCCTTTAAATAAGCATCATTATCACTTGTCACATGGAGAAAAGATCTTACCTGAAGAAAAGTTTTTAAAATTTGTATTTTTCTTTTTTCTTTTGTATTTCAGTTTTATTTCTTAAAAAAGCCACCATCTCTGTTAACTGCCTTAATTCTGGGTTTGTTTTGGTGGTGGTGGTGTTAGTTTGTCTCATTTTTTTTCTCATTTCACAGATCCCAGAGGCATTTTGGTCCCTGGTCCTCAAATCACTTTTTTATTAAGTGCCCAAATTTGTAATGTCACATACTGTTGCTGAGTGTCTGATCTGATAATAACAGGGCTTTTATCAGTGTGTGCCTCATAGTCAGAAACATGCTGGAAGTCTCTAGTCCCAGACCCCAAACACCAAACACTTGTGGATCATCTCTCAAAACCTTGGGAGTCTTTTCTCACTTAGCTCAGTAAAGACACGTTGCACAGGATATACTTGCTTACCTGCATTCATTTCTAGAAATACAATCCATGTGATAATAGCTGTAATTTTTTGTCTTTAATACCTCAAGTGTGTCCACTTGAATTTGCTCTTTGACCTTCATGATCAGAATGAGCTCGGAGGTGTGCCAGCTGTGCCTGGAGGCCCTGACACCACTGGCTGAGCAGTGCGCAAAAGCTCAGGAGACAGACTCACCACTGTTTCTAGCAACACGGCACTTTCTGAAGGTAAGGTGCGTGGGTGACAGCTTTGAGGTCACCTGCTTTGATAAGTACCCTCAGTGCATGTAAATCTTTCAAATCAGGAAGTGCTTACTTTCTTTAGTAGTCACTTTCTGTTCACTGTGTTTTCTAGAGATCCATTTTCTGTACATGTAACTCTCCACTTCTATTTTGTGTTCTTGAAAATTGATGTAAATATAACAGGTAATTGGATAATTTAATTATACCACAGGAAGTAGTCACATCTATATCTTATCCTTGGATTTTTAAAAAACCATTTTTAAAAATTTTCAGATATATTTAATGACTAAGAACACATATCACTCTCTCTCTCTCGGAGTAGGGAGGGGCTGGAGGACACTGTGATTTTTGTGTGTGTGTCTTATTTAGCAGTTTTCTTGTGCACTTTCAGCTGGTTTTTGATATGCTGGTTCTGCAGAAGCACAACACGGAGATGACGACAGCAGCCGGTGAGGCGTTCTACACATTGGTGTGCCTGCACCAGGTATGGGCTGTGGCTCTTTAGGGCACTGGTCCTCTTAGAAGGGGATGGTTCAGACCCACAATGGGTGTTAACCCTCCAGATCTTAGGGAGTTTCTGACTCAGGGCTGCAGTTTTGTTGCAGTGAGGTCCTGCTTCTTCACCTCCTCATTAGCTCTGACTTTTTTTGTTTATTGGACAAGCTGTTTGTCAGTTAATAAGCATTTATTTTCCCTTCTGCACTGTTATGAACCATCCTTTGCCTTAAAGCTTATCCTTATACAACTGCTAGAAACCTGGAATCAGATGTGAGAGGATAAAGGAAGTATACTTCTGTCCTTGAGGAGCTCAGTTTTGTAAGGAAAACAGGATGAGATGGCACCCAGAAGAAGCTGCCTTCAGAGAGCATGGGAAACAACAGTGTTTATTCCTTACTACAAGATGGAAACAATGCCCTTCCCTCCCCTTCTCCCTCCCCTTCTCCTTCCCCTTCCCATTCTTCTTTTTCTCCTTCCCCTTCTTCTTCCCCTTCCCCTTCTCCTTCTCCTTCTTCAATTTATAGCTCTATCAATTTATTCAGAACCATGAAATATTGTAGTCTGATCAAATGTGGAGGAAG